CCTCCTCTCCCTCCCTCCTCCCTCCTCCTCCCTCCTCCTCCCCCTCCTCCTCCTCCCCCTCCCTCCCTCCCTCCTCCCTCCCCCCCTGCTCCTCCTCCTCCTCCTACGGAACACGTCGAGAAACTGCAGGAGCGAACGCTCCTGTACCTGAACACCGACACCTGCGCTTCGGGTCCCCTCTCCTACCGCCCCGGGCCGTCCGCTCTTGTGGGATACCTATCGTTAAAATTGCCAGATGTCAGTGTGGTGTGGGGGGGGGGGAGGGAAGAGTTTATGTGATTATTATTTCTTTTTTTTTACGTTTTTTTTGGGGGGGTTTTTGTTTTTGTGTTTTTGTATATTTTGTTTTGTTTATTATTTTATTAGTTTTTTATTATTTGGTTATTTGTTTTTTGTTTCTGCTTTTTTTTCATTTTTTGTTTGCTTTTGTTTTTTTTTTTTATCCTTTTTTTTTGCTTTTGTTTTATTATTATTTATTTTTTTTGTTTTATCCATAATCATCATACAAATTCGCGAATGTTATAATCTACTAAACCCATAGAAATAGAAAAACGCAATGAAATTGACAAATACAACGTATAACCGTAATTATCTAATAATTTTAACTTTTCAAATTTAATATGACTCACAAAAAAATACATATAAACCTCAAGCAGTGCAAGATATTACAGAAACTGCAGTGTATAAATTATCAATCATTTCCGTAATAGAAACTAGAATAATTTGACACCCAAACTCTCAAAAAACTAACACACATGCTCTCAAATATTACGACACAAACTCTCGTAAACTCTCAAATATTGCGCCCAAACTCTCGTAAAACTCTCAAAATATACACACAACCTTGTAAACTCTCAATATTAGCCACCCAACCCTTGTAAACTCTCAAAATATTAGCAACACGCTCCTAAACTCCTCAAAATATATAGCACCAACTCTCCGAAACTCTCAATCTTTGCACCCAACCTCGTAAACTCTCAAATATTAGCACACAAACTCTCGTAAACTACTCAAAATTTACCACAAAATCTCGTAAACTCTCAAATATAGCACACAACCTCTAAACTCTCAAATGCATTAGCACACAACTCTCATAAACGCTCAAAATTGGCACACAACTCTCGTAACTCTCAATATTATCACACAACTCTCATAAAACTCTCAATGTTTTAGCACCAAACTCTCTAAACTCTCAACACACACCAACTCTCAAACCTTAACACCAAACTCTCAAACATTACACACAAGCTCTCAAAAACATTCACCCAAACTCTCAAAACATTAACGCCAAAGCTCTCAAACTTAACGACGCAAACTCTCAAAACATTAACACACAAACTCTCAAACATTAACACAAACTCTCCAACAACATTAACACACAAACTCCTCACAACATAATACCTAAACTCTCAAAATAGCCACACAAACCTCACAACATTAACACACACACTCTCAAAACATTAACACCTAACTCTACAAATATTTGAACACACAAACTCTCAAACACATTAACACACACACCTCAAACTTCAACACACAAACTCCTCAAACATTACACTAAACTTCTCAAACCTTACCAAAACAAACTCCTCATAACATTAACAACACCCTCTCAAGCTTACACACCAACTCTCAAAAAACATTACCACAAACTCTCAAAACTTACACAACAACTCTCAAACTTAACCACACAAACTTTCAATTTAACACACAAACTTCTCAAAACATTAACAACAAACGCTCAAAACTTAACACCTAACTCTCAATACCATTAACACCAGACTCTCAAACATTAACCCACAAACTCTCAAACATTAACACACACACTCTCAAACTAACCACAAACTCTCAAAACTTAACACACAAATCTCAAAAACATTAACACAACAAACTCTCAAAACATTAACACACAAACTCTCAAATTTACACTACAACTCTCGAAACATTAAACACACAAACTCTCAAAACATTACACACAACTCTCAAAACATAACAACCTAAACCGCTCATAACATTAACACCTCATAACTCTCAAAACATTAACACCTAACTCTCAAACATTAACACCTAAACTCTCAAACATTAACACCAAACCTCAAAACATTACCACATAACTCTCAAAAATATTAACACCTAAACTCTCACAAACAGTACAGATTGAGAACGGGAAACGGATTTTATCAGAAGTGGGAAGAATAGAAAAATTGAGGACCTTCATCTCCAGCGTTGTATGGTTGTCTGGCCTCTACGAGTGGGAGGAAATGGTGTGGAAGGGTGTGGCTTGATTGTGAAGTGGTGGTGATTTGTGTAGCGCAGTGTGATGGTGATGGTAGTTGTGGTTGCGATGATGTTTGATTGTTGTAGTTAGGTGATGGTGGTGATGGTGGGTTTGTGAAAGATGTGTTGATTGTGAAGTGGTGATTGTGGTAGCCAGGTATGGTATGGTGATGGTGACAGTAGTTGATGTAGTGAAGTGATTGTGAAAGATTGTGAAGTGGTGGTGTTGTGGGTTAGTAAGGGATGATGATGGTTTTATGTAGGAATTGATTTGAAAATTGCTGCGTTGTGGTCATTGGTAGTAAAGGATGGGCAGTGGTTGTGGTAGAAGTGAATGTGCAAGATTTGTTGATTGTGAAATTGTGGTGATTGTGTAATCAGGATGAGGATGATGGTGTTTTATGGTAGAAGTGCATTGTGAGAGATATGTTGATGATTGTTGGTGATTGCACATAACTTCAAACAACGTATATAATAACATTCATATCCTAATGTTTTACACGAACAACCTTTACCAGGATGAAAACCCTCGGCTCCGGCACGACTACGCCACCTTCTCCTCTACTGTGGAATTCCCTTGCCTTTGATATCTGGTTCAGGAAGACCATGTAAGGCTTTGTGGCAATTCAGTCTGTATTGGTCTTTATCCATTTAAATCTGTATGATACATTGTCTATGTTGTGTGTGTTTGTGTTTGTTTGTTTTGTTTGTGTGGTGTGTGGTGTTGTGTGTGTTTGTGTGATGTATATACACACACACAACACCTGTACATCCACTATGTATTTTAAATATGTTGCGACTATTCCTAATCTTATTCCACCCCCCTCCCCTGCCTCCTTCCCCTCCCATCCCCTCCCCCCACCCCTCTCTCCCCTCTACTCCCTCTCTCCTCTCCATCCGCATAACAAATACGACATCTCACTACCCTGCCTACCACACCGGCTCGAACCTTCTACAACATCACCAAAAATCGACCCGGGTTTCAGGATCCACCAGGCTGTAGGAGGATCGCTTCCATCACTCTACGACGCTACTTCCGCTACTCGGCTCTCGTGCCCTACGTCTCGAAAGCTTCCGAAGGCCTTCATGAAGCGTTCCGAGAGCAGTTAAGAGAACGGCAACGGAGAGAAACTGATGCCTTTTGATAAATTCTCTGTGATTTGGTTTTTATTTTGATTTTTTTTTCTTTTTTTGTAGTGGTGTTTTTGGGTCTTGTTTTTTTTATCTTTTTATTTTATTTTTTAAATGTTTATGGTAAGATGTTTTTCGTATCGGGTAGGTTACAGTGGTGGGTGGGTGTAGAGGCAGACAAATAAAAGAAAATGCTGTATTTTATAATTGATATAATGATAATTATATAATGATAATTATAATGATAATTTATAATGATAAGTAAATAATAATAATGTAATAATAGTATGATATATGCACATAATAATTTGATAATTACTGTTCAATACATGCAATAACCCAACACTACTACAATACACAATATTATTATGATGATAAGAATAAATAACATGCCTGAGAATAATGATGATCAATGAATCATGATTAAAGATGATGATCGAGAGGAAAGAATGAATAATGATATAATAGATGATGATATGATTAATGATATAAGATCGATAAATAAAGAGAGGATAAAGACGATGATAATGATTATAATACGATTATGCTACTGATGATACAATGATGATGTCTGATATACACCATTAATACTTATACAATAGTAAAAAATAAGTATAATAATGATGATAAAATATGATACAATTATAACGTCACGTCCGATTAATAATTAATTTTTCCTTTCTTTCAGCTCTCCTTGGGGAAGCGATTGATAACTTCACTATGACACTTCCGGTTTTGGTCGCCAAGATAAACCAGATGAAAGATGATTTAGAGTAAGTATTGGTCTGTTTTTTTTTAAGATAGTATATTTATTTATTCATTTGTTTGTTTATTTATCTATTTGTTTGTTTGTTTGTTTATTTATTTATTTATTTATTTATTTATTTATTTGTTTATTTATTTATTTATTTATTTATCTATTTATGTGTAATGTGGATAATAGATTTTTTTGTGTTCATTACACTTCAAATTTACACATACGCATTGACATATACATCGATACAGACACAGTTCCAAGCACGCACGCACACACACACACACACACACACACACACACACACACACACACACACACATACACACACACACACACACACACACACACACACACACACACACACACACACACACACACAAACAAACGAAACGAACACACACACACACAAACAAACAAACAAACGAACGAACACACACACACAAACGAACGAACACACACAAAACAAACGAACGAACACACACAAAAACAAACAAACAAACGAACACACACACACACACACAAACAAACGAACACACACAAACAAACAAACAAACAAACGCACACACACAAGCAAACAAACAAACAAACGAACACACAACAAAAACAAACAAACAAACGAACACACACACAAACAAACAAACGAACACACACAAACAAACGAACGAACGAACAAATACACACACACACACACACAAGCGAACGAACACACACACACACAAACAACAAACGAACACACACACACACAAACAACGAGCAAACACACACAAACAAACAAACAAGCCTCGTTTCCCCACACACAATCACACCCTCTAATAACTTGTCGTTGCAGCCCCGTGACGCTTCGTTCCCTCACGACCAAATTATGAAGCTGGAGCAAATATTTATCATGCCTGCGGGTCTACCTGGCCGGCCGACTGTTAGGTGAGAGAAAAAAAATAAGAAAAAGAAGTAGGAAAGAAAGAAAGAAAGAAAGAAAGAAAAAGAAAGAAGAAAGAAAGAAATGTGTGTGAAGGAAAAAAAGAGGAAAGAAAGAAAGAAAGGAAAAAAAATGTTTGTGAAGGAAAAAAGAGGAAAGAAAGAAAGAAAGGAAAAAAAAAAATGTTTGTGAAGGAAAAAAAAAGAGGAAGAAAGAAAGAAGGGAAAAAAAATGTTTGTGAAGGAAAAAAAAGAGAAAAGAAGGGAAGAAAGGATTGTGTGTTTGTGTTTGTGTGTGTATATGCGAAAGTGGGGGGGGGGGAAGCATGTCGCAGTATGTAAGATGGTTTAATGTAATGATGAGTGCCGTATGAGTTTATTTAAAGGTATTATAACCCAGTTACACTTTATCACCAGTTTTCTTATTCCCCCTTCCTTCTCTTCCCTCCTTTCTCATCTCCACCTTTCCTCTTCCCTTCCAACTCTCCACACCTTTCTCTCATTTCTCTTCCCTCCCTTTTAACCCTCTCTTTCCACCCTCTCACCTTATCCCATTCCCCTCTCTACTCTTTCCTTTCCCATTTCCCCTTTTTCTCTCTTTTTCCAACTCTCCCCTCTTTCCTCCCCATCTCTCCTTTCTTTCTCCCTCTTTTCCTATTATTCACCTACTCCCTTAACTTTCTCTTCGTTTCCTTTTCTTTTTTCGCATTCCCCCTCCTCTCTACCCCCCCCCCCTCCTTCTTTCCTATCTCTCCCTGTCTCCTCAGTTTCGTTTTTTCCCTTTCCCTTATCTTCCAAATTCCTTCAATTTATTCAACTTTATTTCTTTCCCCTTGACTTCCTCCCTCTTCCCTTTCGCCGCTTCTCATTCCCTCTCATCCTCTTCTTTCCTATTTTCCCCTATTCCCTTCACTATCCCACTCTCCTAATTTCCCCTCTACTCACTTTCTATCTCAATTCTCCTCCCTCTCCCCTCACTATCCCCCCCCCTCCCTCCCTCTTCACCCCTCTCACTCCTCTCTCCTCCTTTCTCCTCCCTCCCTCTACTCCCCTCAACCTCCATCCCCTCCCTCCCTCCCTCCCCCTTTCCCCTCTACTCCCACCCCTCCCTCTCTTTCCCCTCTACCTCCACCCACCCCTCCCTCCCTCCCTCCCCTTTCCCTCTACCTCCACCCCCTCCCTCCCTCCCTCCCTTTCCCCTCTACCGCCACCCCCTCCCTCCCTCCCCTTTCCCCTCTACCTCCCTCCCTCCCTCCCTCCCCCTTTCCCCTCTACCTCCACCCCCACCCTCCGTCCCTCCCTCCCTCCTATCCCCTCTACCTCCACCCCCTCCCTCCCTCCCTCCCTTTCCCCTCTACCTCCACCCCCTCCCTCCTTCCCTCCCTCCCTCCCTCCCTCCCTTTTCCCCTCTACCTCCACCCCCTCCCTCCGTCCCTCCCTCCCTCCTTTTTCCCCTCCACCCCCTCCCTCCCTCCCTCCCTCCCTCCTTCCTTTTTCCCCTCCGTCCCCTCCCTCCCTCCCACCCTCCTTCCCTCCCCCTCTCCCCTCTCAACCTCCCCTTCCCCCTCTCAAAATTCTAACCGCCCCGTTCCTCTCTCCCCGCGCCACAGACACGCCATTTTCGCCCCAAGTCAGTTCGATAACTACGCCACAGCCGGTTTCCCTGGGATTTCCGACCTTCTGTACGGCTACGACGGCTTGAGCCCCGAGGAGAAGACGGCGAGGCAGAAGGAGATCAGAAGACATATTTCCGACCTCACGATCCTGGTACAGAGGGCCTCCAGTCTCCTCGAAGATTTCCACAGTATTTAGCGTGGGAAGGAAAATGTGGTCAGACGGGGGAATGGAGAATGGGGAACGGGGGTGGGGGGAGGGGGAGGGTTAATGGGGAAGGGGAAGGGAAGGGTTAATGGGGAAGGGGAAGGGGTTAATGGAGAATAGGGGGGGGGGGCGGGGAAGGGTTAATGGGGAAGGGGAAGGGGAAGGAGTTAATGGGGAAGGGGTTAATGGGGAAGGGGAATGGAGAATGGGGAAGGGGGAAATGGTTAATGGGGACGGTGAATGGATAAGGGGGAGAGAGAAGGGGAAATGGGGAAAGGGGAAAAGGATAATGGGAGGGGGAATGAGAAAGGAGGAAAGAGGAAAGAGATAATGGGGAAGGGGGGAAGGGGGGAAGGGATGGTAAGTGGGGGGGGGAAGGGGTGAATTAGAAGTGAATGATGAATGGTGAAGGGTACGAGTTTGTCTCTGGTTGTGCCTTAAAAGACTTACATTTCTTTTTATATTTGAATATTTGCTATTATATATATATATATATATATATATATATATATATATACACATATATATATATACATATATATATACATATATATATACATATATATATACATACGTACACACATACACACATACACACACACACGCACACACACACACACACACACACACACACACACACACACACACACACACACACACACACACACACACACATATATATATATATATATATATATATATATATATATATATATATATATATATATATTAGTCATATTTGCAAAAGCTGTCAATACCATTAATTCTCATCTACAAATATCAAGGAATCTACCATAAAAAATTAACAGATATTTGGATCTCAAAATCATACAATGCTATATTCAAATGACTTTATTCTGGACGAGCAATTTCTTGCGTAATTCTGGGTGGATTTTATGATTCCTTTTGATTTTCCTTTTCCTCGTATAGATTGTATAGAATATGTAGTGAATTTATCCTATGTGTGACTTAAGAAAGTACAACTGATTCTTCTTACAATCAAGTGATCTATTCTTGCCAACAAAATCCAAACAGAAGGTAATCAAAACATAGAGTAAAGTAATCCATTACTTGAGTTACCTGAAACACCGTAATGTAAATCGTGATAAAACCAATAGAAAGGTAAAACAAGAATAACTTAATGACTTCAGTTATTCAAATATCAACACACGATGGGAAGTAACAGTAATCTAAAAAAAAAAAAAAACTAAAAATAATAAAAAAAATGTTGAGAATAAAGTTACCAGTTACCTTACTTTCTACAAGTACAGCCAACGAAAGACACATTTTAAGTAAGTGACGAAAAAATGCATTAAAAAAAATATACAAATCAACACAGGGAACGAAAAAACCACGCATCATCCATCCATCAATGTCAATCATGAAAGAAATACTAAACCATTTGTTTAAAAGACTCGGAGTCATTAATGAGAGAGCCCGAAGCCCTGGTAGTGTTTTGCTGTATCTTCTTTCGCTATTTTTAGAGGAGGAAAAAAAGAAAGAAAGAAAAAAGCTTCTACTTTGTGCAATAAGGCAACGGCGGGGAGATAATGCGGGGGGGGGGGGGGTTAAAAGGGTAAGGTAACTTCTTTTCTCAAGGGATGATGATAAAGAAAATAATAATAATAACAATAATAACAATGACGGTTGAGATAACAAGAATAAAATAGTTTAATTCCTAGAATTGTAAAGTTAATAGGAAATGAGTTTATAGGAAATATGTCTCAAAGAGGCAGATGACCATTTTAACTGAGTTTTATAAACTGACTGAAAAGAACTTCTTTGTTCATAAACAATTTTTATTACCTTAAATGAGCCTTTCTCTCATTTCTCTCACTTATTCGTCGCTTTTAATTAGTAACATATAATATTTCTTATGTTACCATGATGCATTAAATACCTCATTCCTTCATTTTTTTTCGAGGGGCTCTCATCAAAACATGCATTAGACTAATGTTTAAGGTGATCTCTTTATGCAAAATCTGAACATTAAAGGCTTATTTCTTAATAGCCAATTCTGAGATTATTGATTAAAATATTCCATATCTTGTTTGGAGTTTATAAACCGTTGATTTGGGACGAAATGTTTTTAATGTGATT